ATAGTTACATTTATTAAAATGAAATTTTTCATAGTAGCTAACAAATTGGCTAATATATAGTTAATATGCATACATATTCAAATAAATTATAGTGATCACAATGTCAGTTACTATTGACTTGCTGTCAAAATAGAATACTACTGACTACAGTTAGAGCAAAGGTTACTAAAGCGCTTTATAGGTAAGTACAGGTAGTTCCTTTGATGTAGCTATACAATGGAACCTTCGTAATACAAACATCTCTGTGATAATAAAATGTCCCAATTAGTACAACAAACCAATATAAAAGTATCTCCACCTCTGTATTAAGGACATGTAGTGTGCATAATACAAAATGACTTTAAAAACAATTTAAAAGCATGTTACTATGTACCGTATATCCTTAAATAAAAGCCAGATGCAAATAAATGCCAGTGTTGCAATAGAATTGAACTATAAATATGCAAATCTACACGTAGGCTAAAAACAACTCAGATGCCTTGCAGATACTTCCTTAAGTTCCTGAAGTCAAATGAGTGAGGTCAGTGGTTCCAATCCCACTCTGGGCCCAAGTTTTATTTTATTTTTAAAAATTTTTTGGAGGTCCGAGTACCATTTTAGGAAATAGACGCCTGGGCTTTTATTTAAGTAAATAAGGTACATGTCAGCACTTAAGTAATTTGATACAAATGTATATAGAATATTATAAGGATTTATGGAACTTACCTTATCAGTCATTGGACATATCTCAGTGCTACCAGGCTATGGGAAAAATAAATAGTCATAAAAAAATAAAACAAACTTTTACTCTGAAATCACCAGCGTTCATGTTTGCATAGAATATACTACTGCCATCATTCCTTACAACCACAGTATACCTATACATACATTTATAATAATGTGCATTTATTTAATCTACAAAAGACCTGATTTCAAGCATGCCAGCAGTTGCTGGAGCAGTCCATGTTACTGTGACACTATTCTTTAAACTAGAATCTGAATGAGTGACCTGAAATAATTAAAAAATAAGACCTAATCCACACTATAAAACACTTCATAGGCTATTCTTCACAGCAATAGATTGCAAGATCATTACAAGCACGATGTAGTACACCACTATGATTATTACAAACACTCACAAATACTTTTTAACAATTGTGCTCACTGTA